TGCCTGCCTGCAAGCTCTTCACCAAAGCCCTGGTCTGTGGAAGGAGGAAGGATCCTGGTGCCACAGCAGTCTCCAGGGACTGATCGAGGGCATGAATCAGGGGGATGACCTGCCCCAGGCTTGCTGTATAACCACACAAGATGTCCGTGGTTTCCAGGAAGGGCTTGAACATCTCCACCATCTGGGAGAGGGCCAGCTAAGTTTTAGAAGAAAAAGGAATGATGGATCCAGTCACCCACCAAATTCCCTGAGAGACAGAAGCCTCTCTAAAATGAACTTTTGAAAACTGAATATTAAGGAAAAGAGATTCCACAGTCACATGACAACAGCTTTCTTCCCCCGGGATGATACACACACACGCAAGCCTCCAGGAAAAAAAGGTTTGATTGGTTTGAATTTGAAATGAAATTAAGCCCTTCCGAAGAAGTAGCCTAAGCTACCTGAAATCCCTTCCCAAATTCCCAGTAAAGTTGATGATGAATGATGATGAAAAAGAAAAATATAGGTCTTTGCTTTGCTGCTGCACAAACAAGCAGCAACTGTTCTCATTCCAGAAAGCATGAACAGAAGTGGGGAACGGCTGAACAGGAAAAGCTTATATCAAGCATCTGTAAAAGTAGATACACCTTTCAGCAGTGCTATTGGCTGCTGGACATGCCAATCCAGGATCTCTGTCCTGATTGGCCAGAGCTTCGAATTGGTGCCAGCAAGCTCAGTGAGGCCCCCAAAAGAGGTAATGAATATAGACGAATATGAACGGATCGACGAATAAAACCGAGGAAATATTCATCAAGCCATATTTGTCCTGATTTAAAATTTTACAAATATGAAAGTCCAAAAAGTCCAAAAAGAAAAACCCTGCCAGCTAAGTCTTAGTCTCTCTTTTTATTTGCTCCATCTCTATTCCTGAGCCTTCTTTGTGACAATCTGTGCTGCATATCAGTGTCCTGCTTGCTATAGCATTGAAAGAAGTGAAGAATCATAGGCAGTAGTTATACAGTACTGGGTTAAACCCAGCATCATGCTACTGAAAATCCATGAAGGCAGTGGAATTTTTCTTTCTTCCACGTTTTGTATCTCCTTTCCTCCTCCATGATGCCAGAAAAACTGCTCCTGGTGGGGCTGTAGACCTCCAGAAAACCTTTTGCAGGTGTGCAGGGCACAGGCCTCTGATGGGGAGAACATTCCTCCTTGTTCTGGTGACAGATGGGATAGAATAAAACAGAATAAGATCACTAGATGTAACTTATTGAACTCTACCTTTGCCAAAAGTTTACAAGTTTTCCTCATGACTTTTCTATTTTTGGAATATCTCCTTTTTACTTTAGGCACAGCACTACCACCACATCTTGACTACAATCACCACCAACAACATATGTAATAGTAAGAGTAACTAGAGTTAACCTAGCAAAAGATAAAGGGTTGAAATCCTGTAGGATCCTTACATTGTGCAACCTTGGTTCAAAAATCTCCCATCATGTTTATGCTCATCCAAGGAGACATCTAGTCCTTCCTTGTCTATTGACTGTTTGGGGAGCTTTGCAAGTGCTGTTATGGTTGCTGCTGGAGCCTCTCAACACCTCTGCCACCACTGGGAGTCAATGTAAGCATGCTAGTAGGGTTCAACAGGATTCTGGCCATGGCACTCAGAAAAAAGATTAATTCCTTTTGCTAGAATCTGCAAACTTCCCATAAATATCAATATTGCCAACATTCTTTTGTTTTGTGCTTCCTTAGATCTCATGGATTCCAGGAACCAATAGGAAAATATGATTTTATAGAAAAGAGCTTTGGGAATGGGCTCATTGGTATCCATGTCCTGCAGAAATAGATATGGTGGCTGGAGGTCTCTTGAAATGCATGAGGGTGAAAGAGCAAGATGGTAGCAATATCATTTGGGAGGACCAGGATAAATCCCTCCAGTTGAAGGAACAGCTGAATGAGATATGGTGGCTGGAGGTCTCTTGAAATGGATGAGGGTGAAAGAGCAATATCATTTGGGAGGACCAGGATAAATCCCTCCAGTTGAAGGAACAGCTGAATGATTCTAAGCACCTGTTTGCACAAACTTGGCTATATGCTGAACTTATTTTGGAAGTGTTTTTTTGTACTATTTTGGTGCTAGTGGAAGCTGTGTTTATGAACAATTCTGGTTAACGTCTAGCTACCCCTGTTTGGAGACTTCACTACTATTTGGTATGCCACCTTATTGGCTGATTACTGCACTGTCCTTTGTGGCCTTGGAGATTGTTTAAAAATTTCAAATGGTAAAAAAAATAGCAGTTGCTCAATGACTGATAGAAATAAATGGAATTACAGAAAGCTGATAATGAGTCAGACAATTGGTCTGCCTAGCTGTCACATGGAATGGCTCCTTAGGGTTTCAAGCAGCATTATTTCTAGCTTCACCTAGATATCCTTGGTATTACATTTTTTTTCCCTTTTGGAAGTAATAAGTAGGCCAAATGGACCCTCTCAGCTTCTGATAATAGACAAGATTGGAGGTGTCTAGGATCTAAGTTCTCATAAACATGTATTGCCAGTTTTAAAAGAACTCATCAACTGCCTGTGCATTTCCAAGCTGCATTTCAGTCTCCATCTTTAACCTCTAAAGTCTTCAACTGCTTGGAGAAAGGAGCATCCGAATCTATGAGCACCTGGACTCTGAAGCCCCATGAAATATGAGACTAACCAAGGATAATCTGCTTGAAGTTGTCTTTATATTATATTACGTTTATTTGCTCTCCACTATATAAAAGAAAAGAGCACAAGCAAGTACTGTAAGTAGGAGTTTTTGTTTCCTTTTACGAAGAAGCTTCCAGATTGACCATTTTTCCTTTTCCAAGGGAGCAGGTGAGACACGTCAGATATCTCCCTGCTTTTCTCTTCACCAAAAAAGAGAAGAAAAAACAAGTTCCAAATCCCTCCATCATGTTCAATATTCTCCAAAGACCTGATTGTGAATTAGCTGTGGTAAACACATGGCCAGGATTACACAATGTGTAATCTTGGCCATGTGTTCATAGCTGAGAGGAACAAAGAGCCTGAGAGAGGTGGGCTGACAGACATGTAGACAGACAGTGCATGCTAAGACCTGCTGATGTTTTGAGTGAGCTTTTTTTAAAAAAAACAGTGAAATGTTTAGGAAGACTCCAAAGTGAGGCAGTGCCAAAGGGGGACTCAATGCTGTTTATTATGTGAATTGACTGAATTTTTTCCCCTGTGTAGCCAAAGGGGGACTCAATGCTGTTTATTATTTATTTATTGGACAATTATGTGAATTGACTGAATTTTTTTCCCTGTGTAACTGCTGTATAACCACACAAGATACCATGGGTAACCCAGGTGTTCTTGGACTGCAGCTCCCAGAAGCCTTCACCACCAGCTGGGCTGGCCAGGGTTTCTGGGAGTTGCAGTCCAGGAAAACATGGGTTGCTCAAGGCTGGGAACCATTGATTTGAAATTTGTCCAGAGCTAGGATAGATCAGTGCAGTGGATAAGCTGAGTATTAATGAACCCAGTCTGCCATTAAATATTCTTTTCAATGAGGAGTCTCTGATGAATTTTCATGGAAGCTGCAGGGTCACAGTTTAAAAACCGAAAATTTGACAAAACATAAATCGGCCACTGAACAGATCTATTAAACCATGTTGTCCAAAGTCTATTCTAAAGCTTGGATGTCTTGTTTGTAAAATAAACCTTAACAGCCAATTCTTGACCACATAATTTGCAAATATGTGGTTTTTAACATTCTATTCTAGCTCCCTTTAAAAGGAGAAAAAAATGGTTTTCTTCACCTCACTTACAAAATGGGCCTTTGTTTGCAGGGCAGTTGTTAATATTCCCGTTGAACTTGTTCTCCTTGGCCTAGTGTTTCTCTGCTACATCACTTACGCCTGATCATTTATTCTCCTTGCACTGTTGTCTGTGGCTTTCCCTCTTCCCTCTCATTGATCTCTTTTCCCCCCATCATTGCTCTGTCATTTCCCTGATAGGATCCTTGATGTTCTGAATCCTAATCGACTCAGAAGACTCTGCGCTCTGTTTCCCTTTATCTTGATGGCCCAGTGCAAGATTTTGTTTGCATAATATTTTACTAGCTTCTGTTCTGCGGCAGCCGCGCTGCCTTACTGTCAACATAAAACCATGTTGGAAGCCTTGAGTGAAGCCAGTCTATTGGAGTGTGCAGTAAGTTGAATTGCCACTACTTCCCGCTGTTCCTGTGATAGATAGTACCATAAAATGGATGTGATGTGGTTATTAGGCTGTGATTCGGTTCATACTGAGCTGTATTGATTGGTGTTGGTTCAGTGCTTGCTACACATTTTACCAATTGACCTTCCAGACTGAATTCCTGCTTGGCTTCTTTTACATCTAGTTTGGCTTTATCGACAGTTTTGTAGTTTCTTGTTTTTGTTTCACCGATTTCTTACCATTCGTCTTAAGGATATTTTTCCCCTGAAATTTACCAGTCTCTGTTACAGAAAATGACATTTTTTGGGGGGAAAAATTCATATTTCCTCACACAAATCACATCCCCTCCTGTCCATTTATTTAATTATTCATTCCCTTTAATCTAATCCCTTACATTTCTGACATGTTGATTATATTATCAGACCCTTGATTTAAAGCACCCAGTGGAGTGTAATCAAGAAGCTACTAGACTGGGCCACAAAACTACTTTTGTCAGGTTTCAAGGGGACAGCTGAGTGCTTAGGGAATGGCTATACCTTTCTGTGTCTCCAGGTAGGGAGGCAAATCTCCCAGCAAGTGGTGCTGTGGGAGGAGAAAGACAGAAGGGCTTTAAAGCCTAGGTGTGCACCTCCAGCAAGCTGTCATACACAAGTATGAAGCACCTAGGAGGAGGGTACGTTTTCTCAGGATCAGGCTGGTGGGGAGTGTCCTCAGGATCAGGCTGATGCAGCTGGGAAAGGGAGAGAAAGACAGATCCAGAAAGAGAGAGAGTTTCCTGATGAGAAACAGCTGGAGGGGCCAGAGTCAAGGAGAATAAGATGGCAGGACTGGGAAGGCAGATGGTGTTGTCCATCTCTGAATAAGAGGATATGTGGGATTATGCAAGATGGGAGAATACTGGAGTCTGTCTACCCTTGCCTGGTTGTTTGCTTGTGACAGGAATCAGACACCAGAGACTTCTGCCATGTGCTTGGACAAGGCTATGTCATAGGAGCCTTGTGATGCAGTAGTTAAACTGCAATACTGGAGCCAAAATTCTGGTCATGATCTGGGTTCAATCCTAGGTATCTGGCTTGAGGTTTACTCAGCCTTCCATCCTTCTAAGGTAGGTACCTGTATATTAAATACACAGCTTTCTGGATGTGGGAGGCCACGTATAGTCTGCATTAGGAAATTGTAAGATCCCCAAAGAGTGTTTTTAAGTGCTATGGGGTAGAATATAGGTAGCATGCTTTTCTTTATGTTTGCCTGGACACCGTCACAGACCTGGAGAGGCAAGTGTCAGGTAGAAATGAGGTACAGAGCCTGGTTTGTTTTGCTCATTTATACAAGCTGTCCCTAAAAGGGGTGCTTCCAGAGCTTCTCTTCCCTTCCTGCTTTCCAGAACTTGGATTCTGAGGAACTCCAAAGAAGTTAATTGGGTCTCCAAATTGGCAAGTAGCGCCCAAGGGTATAGAGGCTATAATTCAGCCTTATGAGACTATGGGGGAAAGGTGGGGGGAAGTGATGCTGTACTATTATTAAGAGCTGGTCTGAGCCAAGAAGCTGAGCTGTACCCCATGGAGGCTTTGTCAGGGAATTAAGACCCCACTGATATCACGGGAAAGGAGTGTGCACTATCTCTATCAATTTCTAGCTGGCACCAGGGCTCACTGGCTTAGCTAAAGAGATGTTTCTATGTGCTATGTTGGCACCCCAAAACACCAGGAATGAGGGGAAGGAACTGGGGATAGAGCTGGTGAGGACACACACTTGGACCTAAGATGGCAGGGAGTGTTTTTCAGCCTCATTATTGTGAGCCTTCAGCACAACAGCTGAAAGTGAACTCTCTCTGGGCTGGCAGAAATCTTTCCACAAACAGGTCAATAGCAGATTAGGACCTGGAAGAACTCCCCATCTGTGCTGTAGGTAAATCAGTGCGCCATGTGAGCCCTAGTGAGAATGGCAGCGATCCCTGCAGTTACCTGGATGTATTTTGCTACCAGCCTGGCTGCAACAAATGTTCCTTGCCAATTCTGGATTTGCTATGCTACCTGCTCAGCTTGGTTTTATGTGGATGTGTAAGTGTGAGTGATTGTTGTTGTACCCATTTCCACAATTAGTAGGCTCAGAGGTTGTGTTGCCTATTTCTCAGTCCTGGTCTCAGATTTTGAAGTCTAAGGGAATGGGATGCTGCTGAAATTGTAGCCCTACACTCACTGGCTGATCTTGGGCAAGTTCTTCTCTTCTTCTCCCCCCCCCCCCCCCAAGTAAAGCAGAAAGGAGGAGAACCATATTCATCCATCTTTAGCTCATAAGAAGAAAGGTGGGATAAAATGTAATTAACTAAGGGTATGATCAAACAACTGCAAAGATATGTGCCCGATAGCACCAGAAAGGGTTACTATAATGAAAGCAACCTCCCTTAAAGTGACCCTTCCATCTGCCAAGGAATTACTCCAAGCTCGGCCCCACCCCTCAAAGTAAAAGTCCTGCAGTTGGAACAAAAAGGTCCAGCTTGGGCAGAGATAAGGGTTGTGTGCATAGATGCACCGAACAGGCTTCACAAGTAGTCCAAACTGGGATCTATTTTCCCATGTGATCACATCCAAACAAGCATATAAGCCCAGTACCTTCTTTACATGTCCCTTGTCGATGCAACTGTTTAGGATGATGAGAATAGTAGCTTACCACATCTGGAGGAGTGGGAAAGTTGTTCAGAATCAACCAGAAGGGATGATTGGTAGGGTTTTCTTCTTCTTCACCATAACCTTGATTATTGGTACAGTGGTGCCTCGCATAGCGAGGTTAATCCATTCCGGATTAACCTTCGCTATGCGAAAACATCGCTAAACGGGAATAAAAAAGCCATAGAAACGCATTGAACTTTGTTCAATGCGTTCCTATGGCTTTAAAACTCACCGTTAAGCGATGTTCTGCCATAGCGCCGCCATTTTTGCGCCCTCGGTATGCGAGGGCAGGGTGTGAAAATGCGGCGCAGACCTTCCGGCGGCCATTTTGGAACCGCCGATCAGCTGTTCTCCCGGCTTCGTTATGCGATATTCGCTAAGCGAAACGCTTAACGAATATCGCAAAGCGAAAAATCCCCATAGGGGCCATCGCTGAGCGAATGCTCCAGCGATGGCCCAGAGCGCCTCGTTAAGCGATTTCATCGCTCAGCGAGGCGCTCGTTAAGCGAGGCACCACTGTATAGTCTTTTGCGAATGCATAAGCAAGACCTGTAATAAGTGGAAGGCCCTTGTGAGCACAGTAACCCATGACATCTGTGTCTGAAATAGGGTTGCAGGGTCAGCATCCATGTCTTAGGGTTTCAGGGTCAAACCCTGAGAGCTGAGGATGTCCTCTTGTGAGGTTGTAGAGGTCAAGATCCTCCTGTACCATTTGTAAGACCAGATAGGCAGGGAATGAATAAATGTGTGCCCGACAATGTGCCCGACAGACAGTGTGGAGGCCCTATGAATTTAGGGGCCAGTGAAATAGTGCTACCAAGTGTTTCCTTTCTCTCTTTAGAGAGAGATTTGCAGGTGGAAAGCTATAAGACAGAGTTGGAAGCAAAGGCATCACATTGTTTTCTAAACCAAGGGTGGGTTGAAATTAAATCCAGATCTCCTGGTATATTTCTAAGTGATCTGTAGAATGTCAAGATGAACCTCAAGAAGTTCAGGACTGGCATAATCCCACTGCCTGAAAGTTCAGGGCCAAAGCTTGAGAACAAGATAATGAACTCCAAAGCCTGAATCTGAAGTTTGAAACTGAGACCTGGTGACCTTGGATTGGGAAAGAATGATCAACATTCACGAGTTGCACTGCAGTGGCTTTCTAAGCTGCTGGTGTTAAATTGTGCTTATTTATTTATAAGCACATTCTCATTTTTATTGCTTTGTCATTTTTGGGAGCAGAGATGAAAACATTTCCTGCCAACCATTCTGGACTTTAGAACAGGCATCGTTATTCTTCTACCCACTTCTTTGTTTTCCGGGTGGGGAAACAAACAGCACAATTAGTCCATTGGTGAAAGGGACCAAATGTCACTGCAGTATGTTAACTAGCCAAAAAGGAAATCACTTCACAGTCCAGGGTTGAGAGGTCATAAAAAGCTCCCAGCAACAGTTAGATGGGTTGGCAATGGATAAAATTGTTTTTGAGGGCAGGGGCTGCAATGCTCATACATTCCTTATATGTTGAACTAGTCAGAATTAGGAGTCTGAGATTCCTGGTTTAAATCACACATGTTCCCAGAATCCTTCCCATGCATATTTCTTCACAGATGTAGGGTAAAGGTTCCCCTTGACATTTAGTCCAGTTGTGTCTGACTCTAGGGTGCGGTGCTCATCCATGTTTCCAAGCCATAGAGTCAGCATTTGTCCGTTGACAGTTTCCATGGTCACGTGGCCAGCGTGACTAGACACGGAACACCGTTACTTTCCCACCGAGGTGGTCCCTATTTATCTACTTGCATTTGTATGCTTTCGAACTGCTAGGTTGGCAGGAGCTGGGACATGCGACGGGCACTGACACCATCACGTGGATTCAATCTTACGACTGCTGGTCTTCTGACCTTGCAGCACAGAGGCTTCTGCGGTTTAACCTGCAGTGCCACCACATCCCACACAGATGTTAGAGTTATGCCTTAATTGTTATTTCTGGAAGCAAGCTACTCTATTAGATATCCTTCTGGTTTGTTTATTTCAAAATTTTAAACAAATCCTGAGGAATGTATATTCTTTTTTACTTTTGATGTGAAGTAGAGGAGACACTGATTGCATGGCTAGAGGAAGTATACCCTTAAGTGGAAAAGGCTTTGTTTATTCTGACATGATCTGGCCACCTTCTGCATTTGACAAATTAGCTTGCTTTGTTTTGTAATTGTTCTGTTGAGAAAGAGCACAGATTTGTCTATATGTTTGATGTTTCAGGCCCATAGCACTGGGATATTCACATGCCAGAAGGGACAGTGTTGTAAATGGAAGAAATAAGCTTTTGCCTTGTGATCTAATCGTAAATATGCACTTCCTCAACTAACACAGTGAATGAAAAGTGGTGATTCATTTGTATCTCATACTTGTTCGAATTTTCCAGTACAGATCTTGGCTCAAAAACACTTTAAAATGTGTACAGGAATGCATATGATCAGAAATGCATATTTTGAGATAGAAGTGCATTTAGTAGTGCATGTGTTGTAAAAATGTTCAAAAATACATATTTAAATCCACATTTGGATGTAGGTTTACACAAATGTTCTCAGAGGAAATAGAATGGAACAAATTTATGAATGAATACATGGGAAAGTTACATGGACCAGATATTGGCTGATCTGTGCAGACCTTATGCCCAAGCTCTATTTACTACAATTTTCAGGCATTTTTAAAGCTCATTTGCATCTCCTCACCTTTATACACCTCAGTCATACCAATGTGTACATTGATACACAACAATTGCTTCAAAATTCCTTTTGTGCAAAGTTATACCAGCACACGAATTTACTTATGGATACAATACTGATAAACACTATTGTTATAACTATAAAGGCATCATGGAGATTATTTCCACAGATTTTCTTTACCAAAGTCCAGAGCGCAAGGGCCTGCTAGTAAGACACCACACAAAAGGAATCTTGGTGTAGTCATAGATCTGATAATAGTGATTACTTTTGAGGGGGGCATTGTTTTATTTAGGTATATATACCCACAGTGGGGGGAAGATATAGCAATAAGCTGAAAATAAGAAAACATGCAGCTTACTGTATGTACTCTGTTTCTGCAATTAATATTATTCTCTCTCCCCTTCCCCAGTTAAATGAGAATTGCAAAAAGCCACGGACAGGGCCGATCTTGAATCCTGGAAGAAATTTGGTTGATCTCTATTAAGAATGTGGCATTTTCCACCATAAAGGTATATGAAACATACATTGGGAGTATGTACCAGATTTGTGTTTAAAATGCTAAATGTCTATGGCTTATTGTTTCCTTTCCATTGTATAACCTGAATTTTCTCTTCCAGCTCTTTCATTCTTTTTCTTTCTTTTCTTTCTTTTTAAAGCTGTTTTAAAGAGAACACAAAATACTGTCACACAAAGTCTACACACATTCTATATAAAGCTGTTATTCACTCAATATAAAAGGGAAAGGCATATGCTCAGTATGTCATTCTGTCTTTATTCTCAATACATTTTTCCTTCCTTTTGGCAGATAGTATAATCAATGTATGTACAAGATCAGAAAACAGACGTTGGTGATGAATGGTCAAATTTTCAAAAAACAAAAAAGTCACACTTCATTCCATTTGTTCACAAAAATCATTATGAGGACAAATAGCATTTTCTTTCCTCAGGCATAGTGTGGCTCTTGATCACAGGATGATGGTTTTCTACAATATCTCTAATAGTGGATTTTTTTAAAAAAAAAAAACATAGCAGCTGAACAAATACCCTAAAGAATGGGGAGCATTGCTAGGGAAAGGAGGGTTGCCGTGGGGAGAGAAGAGAAAAAATGAATGGAGTGACATGGAGAAGTTTACAGCATTATTCTACAGTCAGCAATTGAGTCTAGATCAATAATTCATATGAAAAAGTACAGTGACTTCTGACTGAGTCGGAGTGGATGGATTTAATAAAAGGAATAGAAGAAAAAATAAAAAAAATAAAAAGGTAATGGAAAGAAAGGGAGTGCAATATAGAAATTCAGCCAGAAATTAATGAGATCTATTTTATTTTCCTTGTGAAACGTAAATAAATTTCCCTCTTGAAGTGGGATAGTTAGCCTTCGCACAGGGCTGCTTGAAGTATGGCTACTGGGCCAGAAACAGACCCCCTCCCCCCAAATTTGCTTTTGTTTATTGAGGCATACTGTGTTTTTAATAGTTTCATAACATACAGCTTTTTAGCACAGGGCAGTTTTTCCACAGAAAGATGTGAAGGGATTCCCAAAACATCCACTGTGTGTGTTTATTGGTGTATTTGAAGATAGCCCTTGCCACCTGCAGTTTCTGGAATCTACTTTGTTGCCTGTGGTGGGAAGGTACAGGCTCAGATCATGCCCAGACTGTGACCTCAGTTTATATGCTGGCTGCAATCTTTGTCAAACTCACAGTAGCAACCCTAAGTGGATGCTGCTCTTTGTAAAACGTATCCTTTGCAGAGTGTTTAGAGTGAAAGAGGTTAGCTGAGGAAAATGAACTCTCATGCCTGGATGGCATCAAAATCCCCTCATGGAAATAGACTTTTCATTTCAGAGGATTGGGACTAAAATACATATTGTCCTATAGTAATAGATTTCAAAGATCATCACTAGAGACGGGGGTGTGTGTGGACATAACCAGATGCCTATGGGAAAGCTAGCATGTTGGTTTGTCAGCATTCAGCTCTTGTCCAGAGAAAGGAAGTTGGGTTCCCCTTGGAGGATGAATGGGGCCATCAGGACCTACCAGTTGACTCCCATACAGTCAGTAATCCTAAGGAGGGTTGAGGCTCTGACATGACAACCATAGCAGCAGTATGTGGGTTTCTGGTTAATTATGGATCCTCATTTCTCATACCTAGGATTTCAGGAATAGAAGACCCAGTGTGCCAGGCCAGAAGATAACTTCTTGGCTGCCAGCTAATTGTTCTGGCAGATTTTTGGAAGCAACACGGTAAAGATATTTATTTATTTATGTAATTTATTTATATGCTGCCTTTATCCCCATAGGGGGACCATGGTATCTTGCAACAGATTTAAAAACTCTAGATAAACATAAATATCATATTTGAAAAACAATTAAACATATATTAAGCTTTTAAAAACTCACGTTTGAAAAAGTTTTTAAAAAACCTTTTAAAATCTGTAAGTTAAAAGCCAGCATTTTTGACATAACTTACTGCTTAAAAGTCTGCCTGAAGAGGAAGGTCTTTGCCTGATGATGAAAGGACAATAGGGAGGGAGCCAATAATGTTACCTATAATGTGCCGCTTTCTAGGTAACGAGGACATAAAATGCAGTTTTTAAGAAATAGAATAAGTGTTTGTGTCATTCTCTCTCTCTGTACATGTAACAGGAAATGTTTACTCACTGAGTCAAGTTCTCTCACAGAACTTACCGTGTTTTTCTGTGTATAAGACACCACCATGTATAAGACCTGACCCCCCTTTTTCTAACCCCAAATTAGCCGCTTTCTAGGTAACGAGGACATAAAATGCAGTTTTTAAGAAATAGAATAAGTGTTTGTGTCATTCTCTCTCTCTGTACATGTAACAGGAAATGTTTACTCACTGAGTCAAGTTCTCTCACAGAACTTACCGTGTTTTTCTGTGTATAAGACACCACCATGTATAAGACATGACCCCCCTTTTTCTAACCCCAAATTAAGAAATCTTAATTTAGCTTTGAGCATTCAGCTTCTGGGCTCAGAATGCTTGGACATTATGAGTCCCCATTGAATCTGAGCACTGCCTACAGGCTCCACCTCCAATGAGGTGTGTTCCAATTGGTTTGTACAGCAACAGCTGACATCAGTTACATAAGGCTTGTTATTGGAGGAAGCTAAGTCTCCTGACTGTAGAAACTTAAGCCTTGTGATTGAAGGAAGCCTGTTTGCAGAGGCAAGGTATGGGCCGTTTTGTTTTCTCCTCAGCTTACTTCCACGTATAAGATGACCCTCAATTTTTAGTCTAAAGATTTTAGACAAAAGTATCATACACGCAAAAATATGGTAAATACATAAAGTTCCAGAAGTCTTTCATTAAGGTTTTCATTTTATATAGTTTGAATATCATGTCATAGCCATAGTATCATTGTAAAAGGACATGTATTCCACACTCCATTTTAAAAAAATTCTGAAAAAACCCAAAAATGGCTTTGGGGAAAAAAAGGGGAAACTGTTTTCTCTCAATTTTTCTGATTTTTCCCCACACCTTCCCATCTCTGCTCATTACCCCTAAACATTATTGAGAGATGTCAATTTTTTAAAAAACAAACTCTTTTAAAGAGTTTTTTTAAAAGTTAAAATGGTTCATGTGGGTATCACATGGCTAATATTCTACCGTAAAAGCAATAAATAAGTCCTACAAGCATTTTCACTTTTCAAAATAATATTTGAATAATATTTGAAGGTCTGTGTCCAGCTAGTTTGTGGCAATCTAATGGGAGGAGGAAGAAAAGCATGCACTGGACATGTGGTCTAGCTGAAAATGAAATGGTCGTTTAGAGTGTGCAGGGCATTGTCCTCTCTGAAGCTCAAACTGCCCCCCCGTTCTCAAACACAGATAGTGTTTTGGAGATACCACAAGGGCAAAATGTAATTGCTTTTCATTGTACTTAAATGTTATTACTCTTCTGTCCCTGCAGATGGTTCCCAGTTTCATGCAAATGCTTAATAAACATCAAAAATTTAATCATCATTGGTTTTGGGACATCAGTCCAAACACTTTTCTATTAAAAATCTCCCATTCCCCATTTTCACCAGAGGTGATCATCTTTTGCCTCTAGATCAATGATAATGCAGTCCAGTGGACATTAATCTTATTGTCTCAAGGATGGTTTTTGTTTTGTTCTGTTCTGTTTTTATAGTTCAAGATATATGTCCAAACTCTAATTATCTATCTTCTGGATGTGAGCAAAGACAGCAGTTAGAGAGAAATACAAAGCTGCTGCTTTTTCATGTAATTTTTTTGCATTGTGCCGCTTTTGCTGCCTTTACTTACTCTTTACTTTTTTACTAGACCCTATGAGTTTAGGATTTTTTTTTACTGTGTTGCTTTGTCAAGATTACTTTTAATTAAAAATGGAAGGAGAGATTTGTGTTGATGGGAATTATGCTTTGCAAAAATCATGCTTGCTTATTCCAGAGTGTCTGATGAATCCAGAGTAGATATTTATAAATTGAATTTTTTTACTGTGCTACTTTGCCATTTGGGTAAACTGGATTTTTTTGACACACCACAGGTTTTCTGCATAAAGGCAGAATGTTGTCTGGTAAAGAATATAGCCATCCGTCTCAACTTTGATGCTAGTTTTAACAGATGTTTCTAGTTTTTACATATATTAGTTGAAAGCTTGAGGATATGAATATATAATTTGCTGTGAAAAAACCTTGCTCACTATAGGGTTCTCAGAAACCTAGAAGCAATATTAATATCATTTTGAAACTTAGATATTAAGAACAGATTCAGAAAATCTCCCATGATGGGATATAAAGGTTTACAGTGTATTTCAATGATCAATATATTGGTCTAGGACAGGAAACTAAGAATGAATGTTTTTTCTCATGCTAACATTGGGCCAGGCACTAAGTCTCAAAGAAACTTATCTCACAGAATTGTTGTGAAGGTAAAGTAAGTGTGTGTGTGTGTGTGTGTGAGAGAGAGAGAGAGAGATTGATTTGGGGGAACTCCCTTAAGATCCATGGAGGAAAGCTAGAACATAAATGTAAATAAACAATATGTGTATGCACACATGTGCATGTGTGTGTGTGATTTACCATGGGGACTAAATGACTATAACACATATTACTAGGGCATATTTATGGAAAGTTATTTCCCATTTATATATACCTGTTTCAACTGTTGAAACATGTCACCGGGGGGGGCAAGTTGGAACATTTCTAATTTATACTATCAATACATTGGCTGAAATCCTGTTGTACAGCTCCAGGTGTGCAAAAGTCATTATGTTGTCATCACCAGCAAGTCGCTGCTGGTAAAAGGCAATTGCTGCTGATCAAAGGTGATTATGATGTGCATGCAACTTGTGCACAAAGTGGCAAAGTTGTGTGTACCCCATAATCAGCAAAGGAAGCCTTTAATCAGCAGCGGTTTGCCCCTACCACTGATATCACTACATTGCACATGCACAGCTCTGCAACAGGATTTCAGCCACTGCATTTCCACCATAATTTCCCAAAATAAGACCTAACCTGAAAATAAACCATAGTAGAATTTTTCAGGATGCTTGATATAAGCCCTACAACCAAAATAAGCCCTAGCTAAGTGAAACCCTGCCCTCCACCGTTGTGCAGCAACCAGAAGATGACATGACTGTATTTGAATAAATGTAGATGGTTGTACATGAAAAAAATAAAACTTCCCCTGAAAATAAACCCTAATGCACTTTTGGGGGGCAAAAACTAATATAAGACCTTGTCTTATTTTGGGGGAACACGGTATCTTTTAAAATATACTTTAATTTTCTGTGCCTTACATGAATTGTAAAGTGAATGAATTGAGAGCTGTGTGGATGCATTGGTAAAGCCATATGTTTAATGACCTCAATTCTTTTGGAAGCCCTGTTAGTTTTAATGTGATGGCACATAAAAAACCAAACCTTTTATGTTTCATGCATTTTTCCTCTGATAACTAAGAGCCTGTGGCTTGACTGTTAGCATTTTTGGTTGGTGTGTGTGGGAAATATATGAACTCAAAAGATCAATAAAATCATTCTCCTCCTCCTCTGGTAATTTATTGTGATTCTTGGTACTTTTTCAGTACTTAAATGAAATCGTTGCATAAGAGTGCTTCCAGATGGAACATTTGTTCTCCTTAAAGTACTGTACCAGGTCTGGCGCTGATGTTATTGATATTTTTTCCTACATCCATATGACATTTTTCATGTCTTCTTATGTTCAAGGTTCTTTTCTTATCAATTCCTGGAATTTCTTTCTCCCTCCCAAAATTCCTTGTTTATTTTTTGCACCTCTTTGTTCTGAGGGAAGTCTAATGCTCTGCTTGCTTCCTTCTTTCAGTTCTTGCTATGAAGAGTTAAGGTGAAAAGAAGTGATTCTTGTCCATAAGCTCCTGATGGAGCTGTGGAAATAGTAAACAAGACACTGACCTTGCAGCAAGGAACCCGTGGAAGTGAATCCCGTTTCTACCTTAAAGGAAAGCAAGCAGGCAAAACGTTGGTTAACGGAGCACAGTCAAGTAAGCGTTTAAAGAATATTCTAATTTTGTCTAGAAAGTTAGTGAAGGGAGAGAAGAATGTTGATCTGTGCAATCTGATGTATGACTATGCAAAAATAACATGGGTTATAATTGAAACATGGGATTAGGATTCATTTTGTGGACAGAAATCATGTTAAATTATGCAGTATTTCACAACAAAGTGGCACAAAGGGCAGAAGAGCAAGGCAATGTGATTATTCCGTCTGGAAAAGTCTGACATGAAGAATAAAACAAAAAGCAAAAACTGTAAAGAAAAGTGTGCTGCTTATATACCGCTCCATAGTGCTTAAAGCTGTATCTGGGTGATTTACAATTCAGTTATGCAGACTATGCATTGCCCCCCCATCAGTGAGTTTTACTGACAATGGAAGGTGGAGTCAACCTCAAGCTGACTACCTCAGCCCAAGACCGAACTCAGATTGTGAGCAGAGTCTTCACTGCAATACTGCAGTTTAAACATACGCCCTCTGGAAAGTAATTTAAAGATGTGCTCCTAGATTGAATTAAGCCACAAGAAAGGACCGTCATGGATCCCTTTCAACATCAAATATTCCACTGTATATTAGGCAGCCCTTGGATGTTGGTCATACCAGACAATTTCCTGGGTGAGCCAAATGAAAAACTTCTATATGAATGAAAATGACCATCCTATGAATCCATGCCCATAAATCCTTCTTGGTGTGGGAGAATATTTTCCATAGCTATTTCACATATCCCATTCATTAGGGGAAATAAGGGTGAGAAATGCTCTTCTATAATTTGTACTGGGTTGTCAGACTTGGTGAAAATAATAAAGGAATCCATCTCATTAGCATTCTCTATTCTTGATCAGTGTGCTGTTCACTAACAAAACTAGAATCTCTTTCAGTGGTAACAGAACAGGCTAAAAGTTCACATGGTGGCTAATTATATTTCTCTCTCTCTCTTTCTCTCTCAATAAATGAAGGCAAGATACCGGTAGATGTGAATAAACTGAGGAAAAGGAATGGGCAGAATGCTGATTAATATTCATAACAAGAAAGGTGACAAGAAGCCAAATCATCCGATAGTAGATGAGAAACTACTTTTAATTATGGTACCGTTTGGCTCAGCATCTTACATGCTTGTTGAAAACTATGCTGGGCTTTGCAAAAGATCCAAGAGTTAAATTCAAAGTGAAGACTTCCATTCTCATCTTTCCTGCTGTGAATTTTTTTGTTTTAACAGGAGACAGTAGAATTTCAGCTTTTAGTTCCCAAAGATAATTATAGACATCCATCCTAGTGAGTGTAGCATAAAATCAAACAACATGAGATTATCAGCAGAGGGAAGCAACACAACATAATGGAAAGAAGAACAACCACTTCCCCATTCCCACTTTGGCTCAGGAGCATTATTAGGGTCTCTGTTTCCATTTTGATTTCTCCTATAGATTATACTGTATGTTCTCTAACAGCATTCAGAGTCTGTTATTACTTTAACTCTGCAAAATTGCAGCTCGAGAAGCATTGCAGATATATATAGCAGAAAGTCAGGATTGTTTTGTATGCATCAGCTTTGGCAACCTTACGTTTGTTCACAGAACCATTTTAAGCATCAAGGTTGTGGGGCTTAATTGCAGCTCACAGATTTATTCAAGGTGATTCTAAGGAATTAATTGGCAGTATTTTGGATCTGAAACTGAAGAAACCAGTTATCTCTTTCTTCTTAACTGTACACGTTCCTCTACATAAAATGAAAATGTATCAGTCAAATTATACATAAAGGAGCATGCATATTCTCTGCAATTAGTCCTTTTTCCCCACCCCACAAAACAATCTCAGAGATACACACCTTAGCAATCGGATATACAAATTAAGCCCACATTTACTGTCCAATAACCAGTCAGAAAACAAATAATATTAAATGATATTTACTTAGTTGAGGAACATCAAGTATCATGTCAAACAGACATCTTTTACAATTTGACCTCTTCCTAATGCAAACTAAACTTAATGGCCAGAATCTTTTTGTGCAACTTTGTGTGCATAAAGGCTGGTGATGTCATCAACCACAGACGTTAATCTTTAATTTAAGGTAAAGGTTCTAGTATCATGTCAAACAGACATCTTTTACAATTTGACCTCTTCCTAATGCAAACTAAACTTAATGGCCAGAATCTTTTTGTGCAACTTTGTGTGCATAAAGGCTGGTGATGTCATCAACCACAGACTTTAATCTTTAATTTAATATTTTCTTATTCCCCTCCCCCAGGCTCTGAGGCTCCCAAGGGATCCCTTCCAACCTTTGGGAGCCTTGGGATGGGCGAAGGGAGGAGCCCCTAATCTTCCGTGGTCACATGGCCAGTGCAACTTAGACACGGAATGCTGTTACCTTCCCACCGAGGTGGTCCCTATTTATCTACTTGCATTTGCATGCTTTTGAACCGCTAGGTTGGTGGGAATCTTTAATTTAATCTTTTCTTATTCTCCTCCCCAAGGCTATGAGGCTCCCAAGGGATGCCTTCCAACCTTTGGGAGCCTTGGGATGGGCGAGGGGAGGAGCCTCTAATATCTGGAAATTGCCACCACCAGTATCAGCACTTAGATCAGGATCAGGGCAGGCCATTTTCAGACAATAAAGTTTTCCTCACTATCCTGAGGCTCCTCAAGGCTTCCCAAGGTCAAGGCATCCCCAGGCCTTCATTTTAGTAGTTGTGACAGAAGAGGTAACAGAAAGCCCATAAATAGGACATGAAGTGGTGACCAACCTAAAACTAACCAACACAACTCCCATACCTAACAAATGATACTATTCAAGTTACACTTTAGCCAGAAAGTCCTGAAATTTCCTCCTCCTCTTCTGAGAAGCCACTTTGAATTAGGGACACATGGAGATCCCTCTGATTGCCCCCAGATGGAAGTGAAGCATATTTTAAGGAAACACCTGAAAATTTTGTGAAGATCCACTAGCAACAATGTGGACACTGCTTGTGGTCTCCTTCCAGTTCTCAGGAGGCAACTGGAGGGGACGTAGCAATTATTCAGGCTTGTGGTTAAATACCTGGCAAGGTTTAGCACATTTCTATTGGCAACGTAAGTGGGACAGTGCTCCTTTGGGGTTTTCTATTGACATTATTTGACATTTTATCATGGTGGCTGCAGCAGAACTCCTTTCAGTAGCTGACAGCTCACATCCTCAATTTTATATCCAGAATTTTCTGGCAGTACAAGTACTGGGCATTATAGAAACAGAGGGCCACTCTGTAGAGTGTACATAATTTTTTTTTCTGTATTTGCTATTGCGAAGGGAATTGACCATGGCTGAAATGACATTCTTCCAGAAAACTGGATTGCATCTGCACCAACTCTCCCATTGTAGCACACACTGCCAAACCATATGTCTCCTCCCACAAAGTAGAACCTGCTTTGAATGTGCTTTGATGTTACTTCTGTTTACCATCTTTTTACAGTGGTATTTGTTTGTGCCTTTTTAGTATCTGTGTACTTATTATTTCTTGCTTTAAACAGTGTCTTTGAATGATGTAACCTGCCTTGTGTCCTTCTTAAGGAGAAAGATGGGGTAGAAATGTAAGAAATAAATAAATAAATAAATAAATAAATAAATAAATAGATGTTGACCATGTGTTACAAGCAGGGCCATACCTGTTTGCAGCTAACCTGCAGGGAATCTGCTTACCCTGGTTTATTGCAATGATGTAGTTTCAGTTTATGGCAGCTGATTTTGAGCTTTGTGAGAAACAGTGTGCTTTCTGCATGTGATAGCAGGAAAAAGGAAGGAGGGCTGGGGAGACTGGAGCATGAGCTTCATTTGCTGCCTTGTGACAAAGTTCCCAGTACCTGTGTTCCAGGCCTGTTTTAGACCATTGAAGGAGTTCCATTTCTTAGCCATGTAGCAGGGAAGTCTCTTTTATCTGTCTCATCTTAAGGATCAGATCACTAATTCATGTACAGGGTAAGACAAGTGCCAAATTATTAGAATACTGCAAAGGAAAGATCCGCAGACACCTGTCATCCTGATGAAAGCGGCACCATCAGCTGACCTTTGCCAGTTCAAGGCCAATAATGAGACAAGTCAGGCAGGAAGAGCAGTGTGCGCTGGCTCCATTAACTGGTAGCTGTGTGCGCGCACTCGGAAATGCCGTGTCTCCTGTCAATTAGAGTGGGTAAACTGGGGACTGCTGATTACCAGAGACATGGCATTGCGAGCTGCAGCTACCTTTACTTCTCCACCCTGCTGCATTTTAATTAGCTGCAGTCCCCTGACTATTTCTTTGAGCTTCATTACTGCTATCTTCCAGAAATTCAAGGCAGGCTTTTAAAGAAGGCGATTTCACATCATTAATGAGGAGAAATATGGAGCACATAACAATGGAGGTGGATAATGTTGCATTTTGTATGTCGGTGGAAAGGGGGAATGTGCGAGGGACTGTGCGTGTATGTGTTTGAGAGCAAGTGTGAGCGAGGGTGCAAACGTATGCTTCCAGTACATTCTAGGCCAAGTTGAAGAAGGCTAGATTCAAATCAAAGAAGCCCAGCAGCCTTGGGTGGAAATGGAACGTGTTAGAATGAAGATGTGACTAATGCATGCACAGGATGGTTCTTTGCAGCGGGAAGAGATGAGAGACAGAGCACACAAGAGAAAATGAGATTGCAGGAGCTGTGTAGAGAAAGGAGGGAAGAAGAAAAGTGAGCATGTGGATTATTTTATTGAAGGGATACAAAGGGTCTGAAAACCTTACATTCCATTTCTGTTCAGGATAAAGGGGGCATGCACAGCTGTGTGCAATGCAGGGGAGATCATTTGGGTCCATTTCTTTACTCTTCATTCACTGGAGATTAAAAATATGTCCTTATGTCTACCCAGTCCAGAAATGGGGTACTTAAAACCACAAATCCCTACAGGAAGACTTTATTTTGTGGAAGGGCAGCACATTTCTGGAAAGACAAACCGATTTCAGCACCAATCTGTTTTTCTATTTTATTACATTATGTACTTTGTTGAGGACCTGCCATTAAAACACGCACGCACACAAATACCTTTCTATCAAACCACACACATTTGTTCTCAGATTTCTGGTGAATATACTGTCTGGACTCACACCTGTGTTGAGGCAATGTTAGGATATTTAGTCTTTTCCCCAGAAATATTTTGATTTATTATGTGTTAATAAAAGATATTGCTTATGATGCACGCTTTGCATCTCAGAAACCCTAGGCAGGCCTATGTTAGAGAAATGCTCTTCAGGCATTCACACCCAAATCTGTGCAAGTCTACTATACGGTCTTTGTGTGCCTCTCATTCCCATTTCCACTTTTAGCCTTACACATGAGTATGCAAATGCCTACAAAGGACTGTAGGGAGCTGACATCTTTACCTGCCAGTACTGTGTTGTGTGAGATGACCCTAGCCAGCTACAATGGGAAACTTGGCCATATAACATTAAGAAGCCAATGTGTGCTCGGGAATTGTAAAAATGCTGGTGCTATGGAGAAACTTTATGGGATGATGGTTCTAAATTTTCAACTGATTGGAACAGTCATGGAAGAATGTCTCTCGTATATGGCAGACACTCCAACTCCTCATTTTTCTTATTTTTCTACTGACTGTAACTGACCCAAGGTGACCTACATCATCACTAAAACAGTATTTAAAAGCTAAAACAATAAGTATACACATATTTTAAAACTAATTAAATAAGTATTGTATTGTATTAAAATGATAACCAAGATCAATATTAAAACACATTTAAAAAAACAAAGCACAACAGTCCATTTAAAACCCTTCTCAGACAACCAGTCATTAAGGAAACGTTTGCCTGAAGAGAAAGGTCTTTGTCTATGGAAAGACAGCAATAATGGGACCAGCCTAGTTTCATGTGGGAGCGGGTTCCAGTGTCTGGGAGCAGCAACAGAGAAGGCCCTCTTCTGTGTCCTCCACTAAGTGCACCTGTGAGGGTGGTGAGCCTGAGAGGAAAGCCTCCCCTGATTATATTAATGCCTGGGCAGGCTCACAGAGATTGTCTTTTAGACAGCTTGGACCCAAGCCATTTAGGGCTTTGTAGGTTAAAACGAGCACTTTGAATTGTGCCCGGAAATGGATCAGCAGCCAGTGGAGTAGCTGTAAGGGCGGGGGGTTTCACATGATCCCTGTAACCAGCCCCAGTTAACAATCTGGCATGTGTCG